GTTTTTGAGTGTACTTTTTATATAACATTACATTACGCCTTTTATCCCTGCAGGGGTAGGCAGAGGTGTACATTATGCCACTGTATAATGTAACACCCACTTTTCACTATTTATGTTATGAGTCCCATGTAATAAGGAGCCTATTGCCATAAACCGGGCACAATTCTAGACTTCGTGCTACTACTGAGTATTTTATAAAAAACCCAGTAATACTTTGCCCGACTAGGGAATCAAACCCGAGACCCCTTGCCCGGCAGTCGCATTTGTGACCACTGGGCCAACGAGGCAGTCACGTGTACTTTTTACCACATATAAATGTGAAATATACATAAACAGAATAGGGGGTAAACTGATTAATAAAAAATACGATTTTTATGTTTAAAGAATCTGACAAGTAAATATCGGAGTGCAACATGCATGTATTATACATATAAGAATCACTCTGTCTATTACAAAAAAAAACCGCATCAAAATCCGTTGCGTAGTTTTAAAAATCTAAGCATACATAGGGACAGACAGACGGCGGATAGCGACTTTGTTTTATACCTACCATATATATAACATTAAGCAATTCCCCATAATCAACACCATCTACAACAATCGTCTTCATCATCATATCAGCCACAAGACATCCACTGCCGAACATACCCCAATGACAACAATACAATGTCATGACAGAAATTGTGAAACAAATCAAATTTCCATCAACCCTTCATATACGAAGAGAAAGTAAGATGGATGCGCCGATAAAGGTACATGAAAAATTAACTTTTCGAATACATTAATCAGGTATCGGTACTAAGAATACAAGTTACACCAATAATTTACATGCTACCGGTACTGAGCTGTATTTTTTTATCCTATAGCCAAAGTACCCCGTGGTGTAAGCCGAAATCGTTTCGAATCGAAATAACTGCTGTAATCGAATGCTTCAACAATCGATTTAATTAGAATTATCGGTACTTTTTAAGTACAGTTGTGTGCAATGGTGTTTGATTTGTTTCTTTTATCACATTTGTATGTTCTTGTAAAATTATTTTATAATTTTTTTGGTACAATTTTTTATTAGTTTTTATTATTATGGGATCATCGAATGACTGCTCCCGCCTGGGTGAGGTGGGAGGGAGGGTCAGACTCTTAACTGACTAAAAACCACCCCGTTCCTAGTTCTTCGCTTCGAGCTGGGCGGAGCGTTAGGTTCATCGCGACTCCGTATTGGCATCAGCCCTATTGGGCCCCATCCGTGATGGTCTGATGGCTCTTTGAGCGCTCTTTGATGGAGCGCGCGGAACGCGACGCGCCGTATGGTCGAGTCTGGTTCTGGTCGGGCGGCGAGCCACCCATGCTCGCCATCCGCAAGCCCGCTTTAAGCCGGTAAACGGTCATCCATCAGGTTATTCGGATGATAGTTTCAATCTGTTTTGTATGTTGAAAATAAGTCAGCGTAGATAAGGAGGAAAAGAATCGAAAATAATGCTTAAGTAGTAGTATATCCACTATGCCGACGAGTCAACAGTTATTTTCAAGTTACTCTGGTCTCCCTTGTGGCGCTGTATAATTTTTTCAGACGCAAATATTATAAGTGAATTACAATTTTGTTACAACGTAACAAAAATATTTACAATAAACTCCCAGCATTTGTAAAATATGCATACTCTATTATATTAGGAAATACCTAGCGCCCAAACGTCTTGGCACCGCCCGAACTCAGGTCATAAGTTCACACATATAAATACAGTCATATAATATAAGAAACATGTGAACTTTATAACAACATTTCACGAATATTATGTCAACCATTTCCTAGTTATTTGAAAAGCGTGCTAAGTATAAATATTTTCTATTAGGTGTTGGTGGTTCTGTGTGTATATAGACGTTTCTTTGTCAGGGATTAAAGATGTTGTGTTGTCAGTTTTGTCAATAGAATTGGTTTATTATATTGATAACTTGGAGACGAGGTTTCGTAATATATGTAGTTGATTTCTCAGTCTATGCTTTAGACTTAACTCGTCGAGTACCGGTTTTATAGACACAATTAAAGAACAATAGGTCGCGGTCACCGGTGACCGCTTGGTGTTTGACAGTTTAAGTATAAAGTCTGTCATTAAAAATTAGCGTGAAATTGCATTTTTTTTAATAGATCAGTAGTTAGTTTATTGCGTTATATATTCTCATTCTACGAGCAAAGGCCATATTTATGATACCTGATTATCAAAAATTCATTGAAATTACACCTTAAAAATGATTTTAACTTAAAATCGTGGGTAACCCACGTGACTATACTGAGAAAAGCTCTACTAGTTTATTAGGCTGCGCGACATCGCCGCGACCGCTCACACTGCTCATGAGGACGAACCCCTCTGTGGTTCGAAACAAGTAGAGATTTTCTCAGTATATTCACGTAAGTAACTAGCGATTTTTAATTAATTTAGTATGTCAAACGATAGTTATTATAAAAACGAAAAAACATTTTCTTCAACCTTAGTTATATTTCTTCAGACAAAGGTTCTTGATGTCAATATAATTTGTCATTTTAACAGTACACAAACAAATACAAAGCACACCTAAAATATACCAAACCCACGAACGCTTCTCTTACTAAGTGTACAAGAGCGGCATACTATATGCGTCGTCGATCCCTTAAAGACATGAAACCACAAATAAAACATATCCACAACCCCTACTGAGTTTTATATCTCATCGGTACTGTATAATTTTATATGCAGTGTCCATAATTTATACATTGATGTATGCATATAGTAGCGGGAAAAGGATTTTTTAAAAGATTTATGTGTCCAATTAAGATTTTGTATTGTGTATTGGTTTTTGGGTTATTGTTCTTTGTTTAGATACGTAAGGGGATAGATTTTTTACGTATTTTTATGTTTTTTTAAAACATATTTGAATGATGTATGACTGCCTCGTTGGTCGAGTGGTCGCAAGGGCGACTCGGGCAAGGGGTCTCGGGTTCGAATCGCGGGTCGGGCAAAGTATTACTGGGTTTTTAAAAATTCTCAGTAGTAGCACGGAGTCTGGAATAGGGTAGACGACTAATTTTTATTTTAATGTCCGTCTGGTAGATTATTTTAAAACATTAGACACGTATTTTTTCTTTTCTCACAGAAACGAATAGTTTCGAAGATATATTGATTTGAAATGTCGCGTGACGTCACTTCTCAGTACATTTTATACTAAGAAATGACGTTTTAGCCCCCACTCCTAAACTTTGATTCGTTTTATCTAAGTATTGTTTTATTATACGACAAAATAAAAAAATACGTGTCTAATATTTTTTCATTACCTAACTTATGGACTAATTATATTTTTAATTTTCATACCCTGTCATCATCCCCATTGTGTCTAGTATATGGCAATAGGCTCACCCCCTATTACATGGTACTCATAACATAAATAGTGAAAAGTGGGTGTTTCATTGTACAGTGGCATTAAGTGCCGTAATGTGCACCTCTGCCTACCCCTTCGGGGATAAAAAGGCGTGATGTTATGTTATGTTATTTGACAAAAGTGTTATATGGACTAACGATTTAATTGTAACTTTTACCTATTCCAGATGACTACAAAGCTGACATATTTTTTGTAAGTAAACTTAGTACACACATGTCATAATACATCAACCAGATGTATGTACTTACACGAAAAATAAAATAAAACACTTAAAATAACTAAGATAACCCATATAAACTACACATAGAACCATCTCAAATTACAAACTTAACCTCCTATTAAAATTCACACACCTTAACCTGTACTAGATTACTCGAAAGCACATCTAAACTACATCGATTACATCAAAATCGAATGCAGTATCGATTCCAGAGAATCGAGAACACAGCAGACGGCACATATATTAATACGTTGAACTCCGCAATAAAATTAGCTGACAACGCTAAATAAGTGCCGGGAAAGGCATTTATAAGTAATCGATATCGGTATTCGGTATGCAACTGATTCTAAGATTCGATTTATTAAATTTTGCTTCAGGTGTTGGGTTTAAAATGAGAATAGATTCGTTGTTTGCTGGTTTATAATGTTAGGCTTTTGTTTTTCTATTGTTCTGGCGCCATGTTGTATTTTGTTAAAGTTTTGTAAACTGTATTGGTGGATGAGGAACTGTCTGAAAGAATGCAAAGTTCTTTTAGGTTATTTTACGTTTGTCTAGATTAGTTTGTAGATGGTTAATTAATTTTATTGTATTTCAAATCCTGTCTATTAGAGAATAGAGGGTGTGTAATTGCCACATGTATAATTTTGAGAGAGCCATGCCTCGGCGCGAATGGACCGGCTCGACTAGAGTGATACCACGGCCTCATAGAAAACTGACGTGAAACAACGCTTGCGTTTTGGTTCATCATGTATGTGAGCTTACCGAAAGCCCAATTACCCCCCTCCCATTTCCAATCTACCCGATCCCTGAATCCTAAACAATCCTCAAATTCCTAATCCCCAAAAGGCCGGTAACGCACTTGTAACCTGTAACCCCTCTGGCGTTCCAGATGTCCTTATGCGATGCCGATTGCTTACCATCAGGCGATACGTCTGCTCGTTACCGGCTTATGACATATAAAAAATATCTTCATCTATGACATTCGTTACAGTTATTTGCCTAAATCTTTCATAGGAAGAACCTCTTTTTCTTTGAAACTTCTTTTTATAATATACATAATACTATAACAATTCATAACGTAATAACACTTCGCACAATTTCCGAAAACCCGAGCACTTCTAACAAAACCAATCTCCACCTAATTATTTGAAGGCACCCTATTCCATAGTAGTGTATGTATGAATTTAAGGAATGATGAGACTTTCCTTATTTGAATTGTTATGTAGGACTGTGTTAAGGCAAAAAAATAATTCACATAGTTTAATTTATAAAGGACCATAATAATACAATATGTACCTAAGTATATTTTTCATAAGTTGTTACCTTTAAATTATTACGTAAACCAATGCTGATACTACGCATCATCTTTGTATAGTCATGTGTTGTCTCTAGCCCAGTCATAAATAAATTTATCATACAGTTTATTTTTCAATTCAAAAGTGACTTTATTATCTACAATAATATGCATATCCAATAAATTATAGCTTACACCATAAAGTCCTAAGTCAATCTAGTTCCACTTACCTTGGAAGTAACTCTTGGTCCGCAGGTAGCTGACAGACAGCCGCAAGATGGACAGCCTGTCCAGCTTGCTAAGGATGTTCTGCTCGAAGGGTAGGAGTGACGCCAGAGTGTCCAGCTCCGCGTTGAGGCGCTCCCTATGTCTCTTGCTAGGGTTGCTCTTTGTGACGCCGTCTTTTGATGGTGGCTTGATGCTGGAAAGATGGTTTAGGCGTCAGTTTTTTATTAAATGATGGAGTTTTGTAAGTAAAATAGTTTTGATGTAAATATGTAGTTGTCGTGGGGAAAAAACTCGCATACCTTTCCCAATAATGCGTTTTCACTACATAGAATTGGGATGATGACAGGGTATGAAAATTAAAAATATAATTAGTCCGTAAGTTAGGTAATGAAAAAATATTAGACACGTATTTATTTATTTTGTCGTATAATAAAACAATACTTAGCTAACGAATCAAAGTTTAGGAGTGGAGGCTAAAACGTCATTTCTGCGTATAAAATGTACATAGAAGTGACGTCACGCGACATTTCAAATCGTATATCGTCGAAAGTATTCGTTTCTGTAAGGAAATATGAAATGAAAGTGTCTAATGATTTAAAATAATTTACCAGACGGATATTAAAATAAAAATTTGGCATCTACCCTATTGACGGTCTACATTTTCTGAACTATTTGTCTATGGTAAAGTTCAAAACAATTAAGACTTTTTTTAAATTGTGGATGAATTGATATGGTTTGTCTGTTATTGCAGGAGTTGAGTGAACTACAGATAAAGACAAAAGAACTCTAGGGATTTCAAAAACGTACTAATGACGTCATACACTGTGACTGGGTCGTGGTGGTCCGGAGGTTTAAGACGCCCGCTTCGCATAAGGGTACGAGTTTAAAACCTAACAACGGCAAGTACCAAAGTGACTTTTTCGAGTTATATGTACTTTCCAAGGTTATTCTTATGTGAAGGTAAACATCGTAAGGAAACTTGGGCTTATAATTTCTAATTATAAGTTTGAAATCAGCAACTCGCATTGAGCAGGCGTGGTGATTAGTACTCAAACTTGCTCCATGCGAGAAGTATAGCATTGTAGGCATGTGGTCAGCAGCAGCAGTTATAGGCTGTTGATATGTATGTGTGACGTCATACATTCTTTCTAAAACAGAATCATCAACTGTACAACCAACATTTTGACCAATACAGTTAAAATACGCAACGAAACTAACCTATTATGAAAATAGCATACTAAACTAAGCAAGGGTTAACCAACCTTTATAAGTAATTGAAAATAAAATGTTACTTCAGTGTACAGCGCCTAATGTGATAGGCTTGTCCTTTGTCATATTGAACTTAATGCTGCCATTACATTACTTATTGTTGATATTGATACCTCTAGGGAGTTTCGGGTCAAAGGTAATGTCATTTTATGAACTGTTTTAAAAGAAATTTATTTTCTACTCGTTCAGACCGTAACTACGTCTGAGTTTTTCTAAAATAAAATTAAATGTAACCTATGTGTCTCCTTAGTACATTAGGTACCTATAAAAATAAAAGTTTCGGCATATTCAGTCCAGCCATTTCAGAGATTAGCCAGTATAAACAAACAGACACACAGAAAAAAATGTTTTTTTTTTATTATTTATTATCTCTATAGATATTTATTCTGTAAGTCAAATTGAAGTTGATATAGTTTAGATTGTCATATAATGTTGGTATGTCTGTATTATTGTTGAGAAAAGAGGTAAAATGGTGTTACGTTTCATTCCAGGCATTCACAAACAGACAAAATGAATAGAGACCTACTAAAAGATGAATACCGTTCATCTTTTCTTAGAGCATTTGTCTTAAATGTTGTAACATACTGTTTTGTTTTTTTTTAATCTTGTACACACGGCCACACATCAATCTATACAAACCAGTTTATCCTGGCGTCGCGTCGCATCATCTTTCCGCACATTTAACGTTCAGTTTATACTGGTTATGTGAAGCTCGATGTGTAGCTGTGTATACCTAATTGTTTCCATTAACAAATATTGTTCATCTTCTCATAAATTTCTCTCATATTTTAAATTATTCACCCAGTGCCAATTTTACTAATAAAAAAACATTTTTAATGTGGAATCAAGCTCGTGCTTAGTGAAAATGCCAATTGGTATCAGATTAAATTAAATAAACTTCTTCATAATACATTCCTTTGTGTAATTAAGTTTTCATTCTTTTTTTTACAATTATTAATTTCTGAACTAACATGCAATAGTAGCTTGTAGCTTTTAGCATATCAACTTTTTGTTCACTTTTTACTATGTATTTATTACTGTTAAAAATAGACTTTGAGCCAAGCTGGAATGTTGAATATTAATAATTTACGACTGTGTTTCTCAAACCAGTGTTTTATTAAACTAGATTATTATGAGCACTTCTTTAAAATTAGGCACGAAAACTATTGAAAAACTAAGCCCCGAAAAAACTAAGCTCAAAACATTATCCCAAGAAATTCACACCTCAGCGTCACCCTACACTATGCGCTCATAACACCATTTTATTTTGGATCATTCATTTCTAAGAGGCTATTTAAAATGACACATCACATTACGGACCTGTGTAACGGTAGCATTCGGCCAGGCCAGGCTAACGAGCCTCGGGTCACGCAAACCAACTTGTTAGCATAACTTATGCCGACGGATAAGGGGTGAGCTTACTGCATTATTGTGCTTAGTTTTTTAGTGAAATTGTGCTTACTTTTTTACTTTAGTTTGGAGCTAGCGGCGGCTTTCTGTTACGTTTGAGGTTTTGTTTAATTGTGTTTAAATTGTGCAGTTTTTTGTTTGAGGTGAACAAAGGAATTGTGGAACAGTTTTTGATTTGAATACAACAAATAATGTAAAGTTACATTGTAGTTTTTATAATTATAATCATTTTCTTACATACACACTTCTTTTTTAGGACGATTGACATCTGTTTGCGACCGGAGATACACACATATATGCATTGAAATAACTTAAAATAACACAAGGATAAAAAGTAAGAACTATTTTACATCTCCAGTAGAGTATGAGTAGATTATGTTCAAGGTGTAGGACAGGATTGACAGTTTATAAATTGCACTTTACAGCTATTAAATTAAATGCTAGTTTCTTATGCAAGAAGTGAGTGACCCTGAATTTAAATATCGGTGGCGTCTATGTGTTTTACTTGACAGTTAACATGTTAAAATGTTTATTGATAGGTTCATCTCTAACAGTTTATAGGAGAACGAATGATAGCGTGTGTATGTCTCAAAAATGAGCTTAAACCTCATCTGAGACCTCATCCATATTATCGATAATTTGTAAGCGACCTACATCCAGGGGATCCTTGCTTGCTTCTTCAGATCTATCTATATATTTTTTTAGGGGTAAACCATCTATTAACTTCTCCCACCTTGGGTGAGTCAAGAGGGAGTGTCAGACTCTTACTGACTAAAAACCACCCCGTTTCTACTCTTGCTCTTCAAGCCGGACCACAACAACCCGTTAAGTCCTCACGGCCTGTCCATCGTATGGGTGGATATCTTGTGCTATGCTTACCGGTATGTGGCCTTGTATATTCTAGAACTTTTCTTCCCCATCGGCCGTCAGTACAGTGTCGTATATTAGCGTGTTTATATTTCAGAAGAATTACTTCAAAAATGAAAAGTGAGTAAAAAAAAAGAGATGTTACATTACAAAGTAGTAACTTAATAACTGGTAAATACAAAGAAAAAGATGGAAGACGAAAAATGTCGAAGTAAGCCAATCATCTGCGTTTACGTACACACGTATTAAGTTAGTTTCTTTGAAGTATCTCATTATGTTATTAAATACTGACTATCTAGATTATAGTTCTTATGTTGGGACCTACACTAGTTCTACTGGGGAAGACTTTTTATTTATGAAAGTGCTTCTTGGGTGACTGCCTCATTGGCTGGGCAAGGGGTCTCGGGTTCGATTCCCGGGTAGGGCAAAATATTTTTTATTTATTTATTAAAACTTTATTGCACATATAGTGAAATTGGCGGACTTAATGCCGTAGGCATTTTCTGACAGTCGACCATTGGGTGGTGCAGAATGTTAAAGCGGTAGGTGCAAAATTATAAAAAGAAAGTATGAAGTAGATAACGAAGTTAAGGTAATAAAATATTAAAGAGGGAAGACATGATTGTTATAGTATATATATATACAAAATATTTACTGGGTTTTAAAAAAAATCTCAGTAGTAGCACGGAGTCTCGAAATGTGCCCGGTATATGGCAATAGGCTCACCCCCTATTACATGGGACTCATAACATTAATAGTAGAAAGTGGGTGTTACATTGTACAGTGGCATTAAGTGCCGTAATGTGCACCTCTGCCTACCCCTTCGGGGTTAAAAGGCGTAATGCTGTGTTATATGTTACTAATATTAAATTACATTAAACTAGATTTATCTAAAATTAATAATATTTATTTTGTTTTATCTAATGAATAGAACCAACGACGGTACCAATGATTAATTGTAGTTTAATTTTTTTAATTACCATATTGTTTGAAGGTAGTTTGTTATATTTCGTAGTTTTGTTTGTTTTTCTATAATTTGTTTATGAACCTCGTTCGAATTGCGTTAATTTAAATTAGATATAGAACAGAGGTGGTGGAGTCGACTATACTTATTATTTTTTATAGTTTAATAATGTAGTGTAAAAGATTTTTTATTAACTTAGATAAGTTTAGGTCCGCAATATATTTTTTTGATAAATTATTTTACTTAAGTTATATTGAATTATGAAACTAAAATTAAATCAACCTTTTTTATGCTTTGCTCGTTAGATCTATTATAATTTCATGAATATTGGGACACATCAATGAAAACAGAAATATAGGTACCTAAGTGTCGAAATAAAAGTAACAACACTAGGTACTAAATTTTTCTAGTACAGCAATAAATTTCATTCTTACGAGGTATAAAACATACCCTAAACTACTCCAATCATTGCCCAGTCCAATACAAATTATAAATAGTACATTAGTCATCGCCGCCCGTCGTTTTTGTTGATTTATTCAAACGTTAGTACCAGCGGCGCACGCGCAACCCTTTGATATTACTACCATACAATTTGTATTCATACAACATTAAACTGTCATTTAAATTATAACTTTAATCCCAAAAACATAGAGTTGGTTTTAAAATGAACATCGAAAGTGCAAGTGCCGTATAAATCAACACCGATTATTTCTATAAATCGTAACTCGATTAAGTTATAATCGATTGGCGATTGTGATAGGTATCGTTATAATCGAGAGATATTTATTTTTGTTATGTTATTTCCTTTTTTTGTTACAATCTTGTTATTTGTGTTGACAAATGTTTAGGTACGTGAGATAGTTTGGTTTAATAATATGTTTAGATGTTTTTTTAAACATCAGAGTCTTAGTTCGACACCCAGTCATACTGCTGTCTGCAATCATTAATACTTTTACATTGTAATGGGTTGCTGATGTGCGTCTACATTCAATAGGGATGATGGATGACAGGGTATGAAAATTAAAAATATAATTAGTCCGTAAGTTAGGTAATGAAAAAATATTAGACACGTATTTTTTATTTTGTCGTATAATAAAACAATACTTAGATAAAACGAATCAAAGTTTAGGAGTGGGGAGCTAAAACGTCATTTCTACGTATAAAATGTACACAGAAGTGACGTCACGCGACATTTCAAATCAATATATCGTTGAAAGTATTAGTTTCTATAAGAAAATAAAAAATACGTGTCTAATGATTTAAAATTATCTACCAGGCGGACATTAAAATAAAAATTAGGCATCTACCCTATTGTCACACGTAATACAATTGATTATCTACAAGTCGAAAGAATGAGCAGTTACTTTCTTAGGTTCAAAAATAGGATTAAGAGGTGTTGATGATCATTCCCATAGTAGCAAAAATCCCATGTCTTTTGACCTCACAAAACACGTCCCATAACAAAAGTATATGTTTTTTGACAGAACAGTTATTTTCAAATTGATGGACCATGGGAACTATAGGATTATAGGAAACACGACTTATTAGACATAACGTGACGAATAAATAATTGGTATAAACTTTTTTAACGAAATCTAAGACGGACAAGTCATTAAAGATTTCATTGCAAAATCATGGGCGTAGCATAGACAATGGATTTTTACGTATACAATTAAAAAGTAACAAAAAAGTTTTTATTTGACAGAAAAAAAAGTAAAGATTATTTTATTTTTGCGTCTATAATTTCGTTATATTTCTTTTCTACTTTGTACGGTTAGTGATTTTCGTTAAATTATTAATTTTAATTAATTTGTTTCGCTGTTCATTGACGGTGAAAATTGTATAATTTGCGTAAACAAGGAGTTTTGGGTTCTCACATTCAGTTTTAATTATATTTTCGTCAAGGTTCAGGGTTCAAAACCTGAATGGAGACGGTAAACAGTTTTCAATTTCCATGCGTTTATTTTAAGTCACTAGAAGTTTCTATTGTCCTTACTATATTATATGTATAAGTCATTTTGCCACTGTACAATATAACATCCAGTTTTCACTATTTATGTAATTAGTCCCATGTTATTACATGGGTAATGGGGTTGAGCCTATTGCCATATACTGGACACATATCCAGACACCGTGCTACTACAGAGGTTTATTTTAAAAAACCCAGTAGTACATTGCCCGACCCAGGAATTGAACAAAAGATCCCTTGCCCGGTAGACTCACTTGTCACCCACCATTGAGGCAGTTGGATAATATCCTCATTTAATAATCGATTAAAACTGCGACAGCTCTAAAAATCACAAAGACATTTAACTTACTCATACTTTTTTAACACTAAAATAAAAATTACACAATTCCCAAAGACTTTAAAACAGACGGTATAAATCTAAACTGCATATAAATAGATAACTATCAAGTGATCGTTAACCCAAACGTTTGAAATTATACTTAAGTATGTGAAATCGTTTCTTATACTTTTGTTTATAACGTTTTGGAACGATTTGGAAATATAATGGAATTGAAGCAATTTAGGATTCCAGTTTCCAGTGTTTCGCTTCTGATTCTCAGAAAAGAAATGATGTTGTTATCTTTGTAATTGCAATTTTGGTTTAGTTTTTCGTTTTTGTGTTTGGTACATGTTGTAAAAGAGTATTATCTTAAGATCTGACAGATCAACAGCTTGATTAGTAAGTAATATAAAATAGATTCAAAATTAATTATCTGTGGTATACGAGTATCTATCTTACACCTATACAGTTAAAATCCACAACGTTAGTTCATCAAAAGTAGTCTCTAAATGTTGGAAATAAGGTCTATAACAAGGTCTATTACTTGGGGCAGATAAAGGTTCGAGATTGATAAGTAGACTTCAACTGGAGTTTGAGTTACGAAGTCAGCAATGAGGTTTGTATACTCGTATCCATTACATTGGGATATTAACAAATAAGTTTAATTAACGACAGTCACTTATATCCTATACCAATTTTTTCAAAGCTAAAACAATCCACAAATTGGGAGGGCCATTTTTCGGCACGAATGAGCCGGCTCCACTGGAGTGTTACCACGGCCTCACAGAGAACCGACGTGAAACAACGCTTGCGTTAATTGTGTTTCGTCGCGCGAGTGAGGTTACCGGAGGCCCAATTACCGCTCTCCCCCTTTCCCAATCTCTGAGTCCCCAACAACCCTCAAATTCCTAATCCCAAAAGTCCAGTAACACACTTGTAACGCCTCTGGTGTTCCAGGTGGCCATGGGTGATGCCGATTGCTTACTAGGTGATTCGTCTGCTCCTTTACCAGCTTAACCCATAAAAAAATCCTTAAAAAAGTAAAGAACCATCATTAACAATACCAAACTGACCCTGCAGAGCATCGCATCGTATTTTTACGTCTACCATTCGTTTACGTGACCCGCGAGTATCGTTTTCGCTTGATGCGTGACAGTTGTTCGCATGTCAGCACGTAACGTGGCCACTCATTCACCTAGATGTCTCGACTGTTACCGTTTTCTTGGCCGTACACTTGCGTAATTGTTGTGACGTCACATGACATTGTGACGTCATAATGCTTGTCTTTTAAGACGGTGACGTGTGATTACTTCGAGTTGTCATGTGCATAGGTATTTGTATTGTGCGTGCAGATCCGTTCTCTGTACTTTGTTGTGTATAGCTGGTTGAATTAAATAGTGAAATTTTGATCTTATGATTGTCTTAGTTCATACTGGACACGTTCCAACGTTCATGAGTTTGATTCCTGGTCAGTCAGTTAACCTAGTGAAACATGTGCCTTTTTTTTTTAAGGGGAGAAATTCATCGAATGACTGCTCCCGCCTGGGTGAGGCGGAAGGGTGTGTCAGACTCTTACTGACTAAAAACCACCCCGTTCCTTCTCCTGCACGTCGAGCTGGAGCCCCGGTTACCCGTTAGGTTCTCCGCGACGAAACATGTGCCTTAGAGGTGAATATAATTAGAAATATGTAGTTCAACTGTGAAAAAGCTGGTAAAATAGACGATTTTGTATATAAGTAACACCCGTTACCAGCGGTACATGATAGGGACCGAAGCATGGATTGTCAAACGTTAGAAACAATACATTTTATTTAATCTAAGAGAAAATCTAAGGACACATATAACTGCTGAAGCTCAAGCCGCAAAAAAAACTATCTGTTAACAAACAAAACTAATACTTAACCTTCTCCAAATAAGACACAAGATTAATTACATTTACTTCTCTAACTTTATACATTCCTCTGGTACCATTCATATGTTTATATTAATCTAATTTTAATGACACATTATTAAATAAGTATACTGTACTGTCAAAATGTGGACACCCATGATTTCATATGGAATGCGTCGCCTATATACAAAAAATCTCTGTGTCGGTTTGTCAAAGCTATATTTATATGCTTGATTAATTTCAAGCAAAGTTTAAGAAAATATAGTCGACTGCCGAGCAAGGGGTCTCGGGTTTGATTCCCGGGTCGGGCAAAGTATTACTGTTTTTAAATATTCTCAGTAGTAGCACGGAGCCTGGAATTGTGCCCGGTATATGGGAATAGGCTCACCCCCAATTACATGGGACTCATAACATAAATAGTGAAAAGTGGGTGTTACATTATACAGTGGTATAATGTGCACCTCTGCCTACCCCTTGGGGATAAAAGACGTGATGTTATTTTATGTAGTTAGAATAATAATTAATTTAGAATAATATCAGCACCATTTTGAATAATATTTCAAAGGCAGTTTTATAACCGGAGCATCGAATTCAAGATCTGCAGATGTGATTACGATCAGTAGCACAAGAGACAAAAGTAAGGGATGTTTTCTAAACTTAACAGATAATAAAAACAGAAAACATAATAGGGTGTTGACCTACCTATTAAACAAATATATATAAAAACACATAATTACGTAATAAACCCCCAATGATCTGATTAACCCCCGTCAACGAGCAGCTGGAAACAAAACCTACATTTGTCATCCGTTAATTTTTGACAGCTGTCAAATTTAAATATGGAGTCTGTGCAAGCGCAGCCGCGTTGAAACTTAGTTTAGTACAAATAACAATAAAATAATATAATAATAGATTGGTTACGTCATATCCATGTTTACAAATGTGGAGTGTTGTGGCCTATAATTATAAATATATTAGAAAGGTCGTTGGACGGGTTAAGGCCGGTTGTGCCTTTGTTTTAAGAACGACCAGTTTTTTTTGTCCGCAAGTGTAAGTTTAAAGTTCGAGTGCAGTTATTACTGTTATATTTTTTTCTGATATTAGTCTTTCTCCTGGGTTTTTCTAGCTGGATTGAGTTTGATAGGTTGTTAGATTTCATTCGAGTCCAGTTTGTATCGTTTTAGTTAGGTCAAGTACTTTTTGCGTATCAACAATAAGTATTGTTTTGGTTTTACAAATCTATTGCACGACTTTTGATTTTTAGCTGATGAGGACTGAAGTTAGTTGTAGTTCAATTAGTTAGTAATAATAGGATGACAATATGTCATTCGTCATATCGTGGTGGCACGGAGGTTTAAGACGCACGCTTCTCACGCAAAGGGTTCGAAATCTACCAACGGAGAGCATCAATACGACTTTTTCCGAGTTATATGTACTTTCTAAGATTATTTAGACACCACTGACAATCAGTGAAGGAAAACATTGTAAGGAAACCTGATTTCTAATCACAAGTTTGAAATCGCCAACCCGCATTGAGCACACGTGGTGGTTAATATTTTAAACCTTTTCCGTGGGTCCTTCCAGAAGTGAGGCTGTGCTCAGCAGTAGACATTTATAGGCTGTTGATGAGAATGCATCATTACATCACTTTGTTTCACATTATTTTCCACATAATTCATTAGATAATATTCTGGTTGATTTCTTGGTTGTTCATTCTATCCGTAAAAGAAAATTTAAAAGGTAAATGTATAATAACTTTGTTTACAAGTAAAATCGATTATCGTCCCTTCTTCTGTACATTGTTTACGCTCGTGAAGATTACACGAGCCTAATCATCTCAGAATAAATCAAACACTGACTTATCAATAGTCGACTGAACATTAACAATTATTATCATAAACACAATGAGACATCAATTATCTTCCATAAAATATGTCAATAAAAACCGCTAACTACACTTAACTACTTATTTTTCTCGACAATAACTAATAACATAAAAAATATTTTTTCACACAACGGACGAACGTACATACCTACCTACTTACAATTAATTGAATAATAGACAAGAGATTTAGGACGTATAAACAGTAATACTCATCTTTTGAAGCATTCACACGAAAATCAGCTTTGATACTTGGAGTTAAATTTGAAATTATGATACTGAAATATGAAGATACGACTTTTGTTTCACCGAAAAGTTTCGTGGTAAAAAGACGTATGTGTTGGCGGTATAGGTATTGGAATTTCAGTCTTTTATGAAGATGATAGGGTCAGATATCGTGTGGCAGTGGGTTGTATGTTAAAGTCGGATGAGCATGTATGCCAAGTAAAATTAAGTATGCCAATACCATAGTTCGCGCTTGATTGCGTACAGCCTTCAGAGGAATGAGCGTTTTCCTACGATTTTTCTCGTAATACTTGAGGTATGTGTTTCTTTTTCTGTCAAGGTTAGAGTAGGAAGTTTTGTTGTTAGGCGCGGCTGGAATATAAGGATGCTTGATTACTGCATGTATTGCATTATTTAATATTATGTACGGGAAGTAACATAACATAACATCACCCCTGTTATCCGCGAAGTGGTAGGCAGAGGTGCACATTATGCCACTGTACAATGTAACATCCACTTTTCACTATTAATGTTATGAGTCCCATGTAATAGGGGGTGAGTCTATTGCTATTTACCGGACTCAATTCTAGACACCGTGTACTGAGAATTTTTTAAAAACACCTTTGCCCGTATACCCCAATACACGTCAAAATCCAGTCAACACCAATTTAATACTACATACATACACCAAAATGCGTCAAAACTTTCCAAATTAACTTATGAAACAACAAAAAAACAAACAGAACTATCCATAAACCATATACGTACGTAATATCAACGTCGATACAAAACACATACGACCAATAACCTCATAACAACTTGACATAACCGGCCGCCATGATTGTCGCAAATCATTGCAATTTGTGGACAATTGAAGTGCTACGATTCCAAGCTAACCATGTAAACAGATTTGTTATTAGAGTATTATTACTAACATTTTGATTGTAATGGATGATTGTAACTGTTTTTGAATTGGTAATACTTTAACTGTTGTTATCAAGGTTATTTGTGAAGTAGTACCTTTAGATAGAACGTGTGGAAGTTTAGATTTGTTGGCCGAGTGGTCGCAAGTGCTACTGACGGGCAAGGGGAATTTGGTTGGATTCCTGAGTCTACTATTTTTTAAATTCTCAGTAACACACAGTAACACGGAGACTAGAATTGGACCCGGTATATGGCAATAGGCTCATCCCCTATTAAATGGGACTCATAACATTAATAGTGGAAAGTGGGTGTTACATGGTACAGTGGCATTAAGTGCCGTTATATGCATTTCATCTTCTAGTCTAATATGGTGATCACATACGTATAGGTAGTGACAATCCATATGGAATAATGCTTCTATATAAGATAGAAAATCAAAATCCTCGTTTCAATAAAGAAAGAAATGGTCGTATAGTTTTTCTTTTATTTTTTAAACTATTCAACTCGATCACTTACACAGCAATACAATTGAGTATACAGATAGACATAGACAGACAAAATAAACTATTTCGACTGTTCAATGCAATAAAATATTAAAAATTAATGACACTTTCATTAATTGATTTTATAACCAACTTAATTTTAATATGTTTTCAGTTAACTTTTAAGAAATAAATATGGTGTTTGATGCTAAAAAGATCTGACGTCACAATACTCAATCTCATACAAAGTTCATAGAACACTGTCGTTTTTGACAATTGGAAAAAAGTATTGAACTTGACTAGTTGGCAAGTACCCAATTACTTATTGATTAATCATATTTATCATAGGCAATAAAACCAACCCAATACATTTAACAAGTGCACTTACAATTTATCTAACCCTGCAAATACGAGGACAATACGGCACACGTTATGCCAACAGGGGGTCTATTGTACCATTCACGTCAGGTAGAGATGTCAGGACCCCCTAACATTAACTCCTGTCAAAATACAAAGCGCGGTCTCTTTGTCCCTGGACATCGATACGAGGGTTGGATGAAAAGGGATTGATCGCATTAGAGGGTTGGGCGTGAAAATCGGATTATTGTCCGTTATTTATATACCTATTATGAGCTAATGGTTATTGTGTTGCAACAATTATTTTGCTATATTTTTCACGAGGTTAAAAAAGAGGGGTATTTTTTGGGGGTGTTCATACTACATATAGTGTTATATGATTTTCTCACTGTAGTGTTGACTGCCTCGTTGGTCGAGTGGTTGCAAGTGCGACTCCCGGGCAAGGGGTATCTGGTTCAATTCCCGGGTCGGGTAAAGTATTACTGGGTTTTATAAAAATATCAGTAGTAGCACA